GAGGATGCTCAGCCAAGTATCACTAAGCCTTTGAGGAGTTCTGCATGTTCTATGAGCGTGATGAGAAAAGGTGGGAGAGAGGGTGAGTCAGAGAGACGTGAAATAATTTTCAAAACAGCAATGGCAACACATTTCAAAGAATTAAATTCTCAAGTATCTGCTTTTAAATCTTTATTAGTCACTTTAAGTGACTATTTTATCAAAGGTAGAAAAAGGAAACGGATTGACATGCCAGAGGGAAAGGCAGCTAAGAAGACAGTGAAAGTGAAAGGGCAATGAGCTCATCTTATCACTTAAGAACTGACAGGTCATTTGCATAAAGCTTAGATTAAGAACTGAGTCAGCCAATGGTTAAGAAGTGGCAGAAATGATGCCTTCCGGACTGGGTAGTGTTCACACTGGCAGACTGCACACTATCGGATTATCTGTACAGGCTGACACACGTAGGCCGCCAAAAATCATCATTTTGTGAAAAGTATACATTTTAAAGATTCCTTTAGTCAATCTTTATACTGTGCTTGGAAAATGTTCAGCATTGGCAGGAGTTTTCATTTCACATGTGTTAGTGTTTTGCCTGCATGTATGCCTGTGCCTCAAGTGTGTGGCTGGCGCCCGCAGAAGCCACCAACGGCCATTAGAACACCTGGCCGTGGAGCCACAGAGGGTTGTGAGCTGCAGTGTGGATGCCAGGAAGGGAATCCAGGTCCTCTGAAAGAACAGTTTAGTCTTTTAACCATTTAACTATCTCTTGGCTGGAATTTTTTTTAATATACTGCAAATCCTTACATTCTCCTTTGAGTATATTTTCCCAAAAGTGCATGCTTTACCTGAGTATCTATGGACATCCAAAACCTGGGCACCAGGGCTTCTGAAGGGCAATTAGATCCTAAGAGCGCCACCCTCATGCCCTTATGAAATAATGTGCATTTGACTGGTTTGTTTCCACAGGCTTCTGCTCCTTACTTGGACCCACAAAGTAACTAAAGGAACCATGAAACAAACTGTAGGGTCCCTGCCTGCATTTCATGTGCCTCCTTTACTTCCAGTCTCTGCTCTCCTCTGCCACTGAAGGAGTGCCTGATGAACCAAGCCAATATGAAAAAAGTAATTAAATAGTTTCTAACAATTATTTGCCAACATTTACCATTAAAACCTTAAACAGACAATAACAACACATTACTACCAACTGATCAAAGCAAATAAGGGGGACAATGGCCCTATGTTACCCCATACTAATCGACAGCTTATGGTTGAAAAAGAACAGGTGCTGGCAGCACTTGGGAAGGCAGAGGCAGCAGATCTCTGTGAATCTGAGACCAGCCTGGCCTACAAAGGTTGCCCAGGACAGCCAGGGCTGTTACACAGAGACACTGTTATGAAAAACCAAAAAATAAAAGAACAGGTGTGTGAAAGGAAAGATGTCCACAAAAATGTTTTTATTTCCACTGTAAGCTTCTAATTGCCTAGCTAAAAATACCTACCTATTTCACATTCTCCAACGATGGCAAGTTCTCAGAAGGTCTTACCCATCGACACATCCATCGCCAATTCATACATCCATTAAACACCTACAAACTCCTACTTTGGGATTAACTCACACTGATTTTTTTTTTTTCAAGACAGGGTTTCTCTGTGCAGCCCTGACCATCCTGGAACTTGCTCTGTAGATCAGGCTGGTCTCAAACTCACAGAGATCCACCTGCCTCTGCTTCCCAAGAGTTGGGATTTAAGGTGTGTGCCACCACCAGCTAATTCAAACTTTTAATAGGGTGCTATGGCATGAGAAGCCATTGCTGAGAACACATTAAACTCACAACTGTTCTAACAGTCTGAATATAAATGTGATATGTCCACAGACTCTTTTTAACTACCAGGAAAAAAAAATTAACCCATTTTTTGGTCTTTATCCATAACCATCTCTCTAGCCCCAAAGACTTTCTTTTCAAGACAGGTTCTCATGTAGCCCAGGCTAGCCTCAAGCTTGCTATGTGGCCAAGGATGATCTTGAACTTAATTCTCTTATGTACTGAATTTACAAGTCTGTGCTACCACACCTAGTTTACTGACTATAGGGATAAAACTCAGGCAGTGCGCATCCTAAGCACACTCTTTATCAACTCCAGCCCAGAGCATTTTCTGTACTCTTCCCATGCCATGCCAAGGTGATTTATGAACAAACTTTCACGTACCATCAAAAACAGTATGCATGCAAACTGGGAAAGAATAGCTTGTCATGAGTGCGCCAAGGAACACATGCCAGCATCAAAGGTTCAAGCAAGTAACAAAGTCCCAGAGGAGAGCGGGTAGACAGCTGTGTGTAAAACATGTGAAAGATCTCTACATGTTCTGAGATGGGCCTAACTGACCATACCTCCTAAAAGCGTGCCTCCTCATGCCATGCAAGTCACAACACTCATGAACAATTTAAATTTCTTCCAAGGACACAGTCCATGTGCCATTACTTTTCTTCAGGCCAGCCAAGACTACACAGTGAGAGCTTGTCTCAATAGTAATAATAACAATAATAACAACAGCAATAATAGAATAGTGAAAGCAGAAATGCTGACTAAAGTAGTATCATATGTTGGTTGGGATAACAAGAAAAGAGAGACACTAAGTAAAAATCTAAAGAAATAAGAACAATGGACAGACTACAGTTACTAAAAATGATCAGTATTGGTTTTCTGTTCTACAACAAATGCTGGAAATCAGTCAGCTGGAAATAAGGAAAGATTTATTTGGACTCACACTTTGGAGACTACTTCACAGCTGGTTTCCCTCATTACTTTGGGGTCTGTGGCAAGGCAGTACATCTTGGTAGATGTACAGGGCAAAAGAAGACCATTTCCCTTGTGGTAGCCAGGAGGAAAAAAGGGAAGGGGACCTATAATTTCCTCCATCAGCATACCCCCAAAGACCCAAAGCCTGCTATGTCCCACCTCGTAAAATTTCCCAATACTTTACAAGAGCTCCAGGCTGATGACAAAGCCCACAACATAAGCCATGTGGGGACACTCCAGATCTGAATTCTAGCACGGTCCATGTTGACTTAGCAAATACAATGTGCTAGTTTATAAATGAATAATGAGGAAAGCCAAGTACAGAGTACCTGAGAGCTCTCTGTGCACTTTTCAGAAAATCTTTGCATCTGAAGCCATCCCAAAATTGGGCTTTTCCAATCCTCATTATGATTAAAGTTGTTTGTTTGTTTGTTTGTTTGTTTGTTTGTTTTTTAGTCTCATAGGCAATCAACAACAAAAACATTAAAACTTGTAGACAAAATAAAAATTTACAATTCTAACATAAAAGTATTAAGTGCACCATAGCAAATAAAGATTAGGATGTATATAATTTAAAGTCCATAAGAACACAACAGAAGGCCAGGCTGGTGACAAATGCCTGTAATTCTAGCACTCTAGAAGCGGAGACAGGAAGATCAAGTGTTAGAGGTCCTGCCTCTAAACAATAACAATAAAAGTAAACAGGTTCAAAGAAGTTATGCACATCTTTCAATGAGAAGAAAAAAGTTTTGAGCACTAAAACAGGTATCATTTAAGGAGTGTAGAGTGGCTAATTTTATGTCAGCTTGGCACAGTCATCTAAAAGGAGGGAACCTCAAGAGAGAAAGTGCCTCCATAATATTGGGCTGTAGGTAGGCCTGTAAGGCATTTTCTCAATTAGTGATTGATGGGAAAGGGCCCGGCCCTCTCCAGCCCACTGTGGGCAGGACCATTCCTGGACTGTTGGTCCTGGATTCTATAAAAAAGCAAGCTAAGCAAGCCATGGGGACTAAGCTAAAATGCAGTACCCCTCCATGGCCTCTGTAACAGTCCCTGTCTCCAGGTTCCTGTCCTGTCTGAGCTCCTGTCCTGACTTCCCTTAGTGATCGGCTGCTACCTGGAAGATTCCTCTACAAGCTGCTTTAGTCATGTGTTTCATGACAGCAGTAACCGTAAGTAGGACAGAGTGTGATTATTCTTCAGGTTATAATCTGTGGTAATATTAAAGTCTACATCACTCACATAGGACTGGTACCTACATAAACAGAACAAATGCTTTTGAAAGTGCTAGGCATTAAGACAGAGTTTCTCTGTGTAGCCCTGTTTATCCTATAACTGGCTCTGTAGACCAGGCTGGCCTGGAACTCACAGAGATCTACCTGTCTCTGCCTCCCAATTGCTGAAATTAAAGGCATGTGCCACAACTGTGTGGATAAAAAAAATAAATAAATAAAAATTTTTAAAAAATAAGTTTTTAAACCAGTAACAGCTTAAACATCTAAAAATAGAGACATGGCTAACTACAGTATCCTACTTAATCTAATACTATTTAACTACTTTAAATTATTACAAAATCCATTCAGGCTTAAACATGCAGTTAAAATTAAACATTAACCAAAAGCAACAGTCTATAGTAATGCTAATTGTGTAAGTAATATGGAACAAATGTTTAGAACATTAGCTATAAACAAAATAATTTGCTGGAAAGCATTCTTTTATTTAACAATTCATGAAATAAAATATAGTTGAGTGTGGTTTCGCAGTATTGAGTGTGGAAAGCCCAGACAGGCTCTGAGCACCAAGCCGGAAGTGTGCGCTTCTCCAGTCTCCAGGCAGAGTAGCAAAGAGTGATGTCGGGTCTGACCCGTGATGCAGGAAAATAAGATTCCTCCACAGCTACCGGTTACAGCTCTTTCAGTTGGACCGCCAACACTAAACAGAATCGGAAGCTCAGGTCTGAGGCCGAGACAGGCGGCAGTGGAAACCCGACCTGATTCAGGTGAATGGGCCAGCTGTTTCAGAACAGCAGTGTTACAGCTCTTTGCCTAAACCACACTGCCTCAGCAGTAGACGGTGCAAGAGAGCATACTTCACCGACACCAGACCAGGTTAAGATGGGAGGTCGGCCAGGAGCTGCCTGCCTCTGCCTCCCCAGTGTTGGGCTTAAAGGCATGAGCAACCACCACCAGGCTCCACTTTGTTTACTGGATTATTACTTACCTAGAGATGGTCTCCAAGGCATCTTCAAAGATGTCCTGAAAAGGAGTAAAAAATACAGTGAGTTTGTCAAGAATGAAGACTTTCAAATGTGAAAAGGAATAGGTCTATGCATGGGGAGTGGGGTAGGAAGAGGATGAGCAGGGGGTGGAGTAACAGCTCCTTGTGGAGTTCTATTCACAGAAATCTCTATATTTAGGTGAGATTCATTTCCTTCTGCTTAAACTACTCAGCCACAGTCACAGTCGCCTAATTCAAGAGTGTGGCTTCTTTTACACAGTTGCTTATACTCCTCAGTTTCATTCATCCCAAATGTAGAACACTTCATGAATGAAAAGACATGCCCAAAACAGTCTTCATTTTCTCCATGACTGGCCATGTTAGCTTCCTCCAGGCCTTCGTCTCGGACCTACCTGCCAACGCTCTGATCCTGAGCTAGGCTTCCCACCACCAACACGCCTTGTTGCATGCCAGGAGCCTGCTCAAAAGCATCGACATATTCTGTCTTAGTTACAGTTACTATTGCTGTGATGAAACTTGGAGAGAAAAGGGTTTGTTTGGCTTACAGTTCTACATCACTGCCCATCATTGAAGGAAGTCAGGAGAGGAACTCAAGCAGGGTAGGAACCTGGAAGCAACAGCAGAGGCCACAGAAGGGTGTTGATTACTGGCTTACTCCCCGAGGCTTGCTCACCCTGCTTTTTATAGAAGCCAGAACTGTCCTTCCCCATCAATCACTAATTAAGAAAATGTTCTATAGGCTTGCCTACAACCTAATATTATGTTGGCATTTTCTCAACTGAGGGCCCCCGCCCCCAGTTGAGGGGGTGTCAAATTAACATAAAACAAAAATATGGTAAATATCCATTTACCTCTCCTTCCCTCCCTCCTTTCTCTCCCCTTCATTCCCTCTCTCACACACACAATACATTCCACACTCAGACACACACATCCTCACACAGAACTCACATATGTACAATAACTTCCCCGATAGATGCAAAAGTCAAGTGGGAACTTTCGGCCAGCTACTTGGGATCCACCCCAAAAACCTCAACGTCAAAGTATCCCCTTGCTGGTCTCCCTATCTCCATTCAGTCTTCACACAAGAGCTGGTTGGAGATATCCTTCCGATGAAGGAGCAAACTCACCCCAAAGAACCCCACACCCCTAATCAGCAGGAAGTAGCCTAATGATATGGCCCCTTTCCCCTCCAACCTTCTTTCTCTCCTACCTAGTACTGGGGGGGCTGGAAGGGATAGGGATGGTGTAGGGAGGCAGATAAAAGAACCCAACATCAGAGCCAAAACTTCGGTTATGCTCCACCCTGCTCCTTCCCCACTCTCCTGGCACGGCTCTTTCTTTTCTGCTCCTCTAACAGGCTGTGCTCACTTATGTCTTCCTCCCGTGTATCTCTTGACGGCCCAGGGCTGACTCTCATCGTTCCGTTTCAGCTCAGAAAGTCATTTTCTCAAGGTTCTGTCTCTGCTCACACTAACTAAAGTTATCAAGAACAGCAACTTATAATTTGTCATCATCTGACTTATTTCATCCACAATACTTATAATCAACAATCACCTTCCTTGTTCACTTGGCAAATAACTAAATTAAAACACCATATGAAAGCAGGAAGCACCTCAACTGCCTGCCTTAAGGTCTGAAAACAGACCTTAAGGTCTGCCGGACGATGAGCGGCGGGGTGGGACCCCTACTGAGCTACCGGCAAGCCTCATAACCTGCCCTGTGTTAATCCCCAGAACCCACAAAAGGCAGAAGGAGAGAAAAAAATTCCGAAGTTGTTCTCTGACGCCGTGCCCGGGCACATGCTCCCACATGTCAGCTCCATTCGCATCCACTCAACACAGCAATTACAGAGGTGGAGGTGGTGGGGCTTGCTGATGTCTATTAAGAGAAGGAAGGCCACTCCCTCTGGTAAAGCCTGGCTATTATTTTGTATTGTTTTGTTTTCAAGCTTTGTAACAGCTCTGTTTTGTGGCTTTTGGTAAAAAGATTGGGACCTTAGTTGTGTCTCTAGTCCTGGGTGGTGACATGCCATTCTAAATATTATAAAATCACAAAGAAATATTACTTCCCCTTCCCTTAAAGGTAATCCACACGGGCCTGTCAACCATTTGTACAAGAAAAGAACCTGCAGGAAATCGCTCCGTTACACCTGAAAGATACGAAAAGATGAGCATGAGGCTGCAGGAGTGTGTGCCACTCCTGCCAGGAGCCTGGTTTGCTTCTCAGCACCCACCTCAGGGAGCTCACCGCCACCTGAAACTCCAGTTCCAAGGGTTCCAACACTCTCTGAACCCAGGCATGTGTACACAGAGAGATACACACAAACATTTTCTTTGAACAACTATCCCCACAGTGAGCTATGTACTTTCCGGGCCAGGGTCGCCATCTCAGCGCAGCTGCCACAGACCTCCACGGTCTACGTTCCATGTTCTAACTCAGTCATGGCCTCTTCCTTCCATCTCCTTTCTAGACACCAGGCAAACCTAAATCAGTGTGGCTGACACTCCAGGCGTCTCACTCCCTGAGCACAGGCAGCACGCTCTATTCAGCTGCCTGCACATGTCCGTTAATGAGCCCGCAGCTTCTCTGGCCTGCAATTCAAAAGGCTTGACTTCCTATTTACCCACCTACCCCAGACTGGCAGCTTGCCTGCCCTGTCTGTCTCTTTGTTTGTTTTCCCTCTCAAACTCCAAAACTGTTCTCCGGTTTTCTGAGTCGTTATAAATCCTATTATCTAATGTAAAACATTATTACATAAGTGAGTTCCGGGCCAGCCAAGGCAAAATTCTGTCCCAAAAAATAAATAAAGGGAAATAAATCAAAGCAAGTCGTTTCCGAGCCTGAAGTGAACCACGGTGCTCTTGGTCGCAGCGATAGAAGCTGATACTCTGCAGACTGTCTCCAAACGTCTACCTGTGGTTGCTCCTAGCTCTGCAGTGAACAAAACGCAGCCTTCTCAAGGCTTCAGGGCTACACACTTAATTCTCAATCAGAGCAGACTAAAAGGAAGAAAAGAAAAAGCAGGCAGCGCAGTGGAGCCTCTGACCCACAGGTCTTTAAATCTGACTTTTATTAGAGACAAACATGAAAGCTTTCAGCTGATAGGAACAGGCTTCGGAAAAATTCTCAGTCAGATGTGGTGGCAGACACTTCTAATTCCCCCACTCGTGAGAATGAGGCGGGAAGACTGAAGATTCAAGAGTGAACTCCAAGACCCTATCTCAAAACCAAAATGTTCCTTAAAGCAAAAGTCCAATCATGCAATAACAACATCACCCCCCTCGAGACAAAGTGTGCCGTGGACACTGTTGTGACTGAACATAACACAAATTCTTCAAAGGTGACCTTATAATGCATTGTTCTCTAGTTACTCTCAAGAAGTGCTCTCTTATTACCTACGTAAGTTCTATAGAGTTGGTTCAGTTTGATTTGGAAACAAGGTTTCACCCTGGCTGACCTAAAATTTACTGTGTAGACAGGGATGGCCTTGAACTTGAAACTAAAAGTCACTATGTCTGGCCTCTCTTTCTCTCTTTCCTTCCTTCTTTCCGACAACTTTTTACTGCATTGTCTAGGCATATTTGGAACTCTGGAGCTGAAGGGATCTGCCCACCAGGCCCACCCCTTCAGCTTCCCAAGAGCTGAGACTACAAGCATTTGGTGTAAGCCTCTTGATGCTTAAAGCTTCATTTTTTAAAATAACATTCATTTTTAAAACTCACAGATATGATAGCAAAAATCTGGGGTTATAGGTTGAGTCATTCTGGTGGAAATGATGAGAATGGTTACTTTCTATAAATGTAGGAACTATAGCCAAGTACATGCATTTAATCCCAGCACTTGGGAGACAGGGGCAGTTGGCTCTTTGTGAATTGAAGGCCAGCCTTCAATAGATCTACAGTCAGGGTTCTGTAGAGATACCCTGTCTCAAAAAGTTTAAAAAAAAAAAAAAAAAAAAAACTAAAAAAAACCAAACAAACAGATAAATGAGTTCATTTTTAGTAGGCAGCTGCTTCATTTTGGTGAGTTCTATTTTATTCAGATGATTTGATTATCTTCTAAAGCAGCCGAAACATGACTCACATACAATGATGTGAAGGTTCTCCATTAAAACAAACAAACAAAAAAAGTCAAAGCACTGAAGTGTTTTTCCCTTCACACATGTGAGATACAGCTGCGGTATCAACAGCATGGAACACCAACCTCGGAGACCGGTGCTGACGAGCAGAGGAGCCTTCTACCTCGTCTTTACTGCTACTGCCTGGAACACGGAGGAAACGTGCAGACGTAACTTACTAGGACTTGACGACAGTATTAACCGGCCCTTCCACTGTGGTGTGCAGGTCCTCTGAGCCGGAAGCTATGTGTCAAGTACACCCCCACTGCCCCGAGGTCCATCATCTCAGGACAGAAGGGTCAGACACAAGCCAGGCACACTCGAGTCACAGAAAACCCTAACCCATTCCAGTGTCAGCATTTGTTGGGAGTGGGGGATACACTCACTATACCTACAGGAGACAGTTATTAGGACCATCAAGTGGTCGGAGTTGGAGCCAAGGACTGTCAGTGCCCACAGCCTGACGGCATGAGCCAGCTCCCCGCCAGCACTCAGCAAAAACACTCTTATAGGTTTGTACAGGGCTTCATGGAGGAAAGTCTATGGGTCACAGGCTTGTTCCCATGCTCTAACCCTAAGGGGCAAGTTTGTCTCTGACCACTAACACTGTAAGTAAATATGCATTAGTGACTTCATTACACTGCCAGTAGAGAACAGTGGAAAATACAACTTAGGAGGTAGACTTGGGAGGTAGACCTGTCTGGGTGTGCACCCTGATTCCCTGAAGCAAGTCTACCCTTTAATCCTCCATTTCCTGATGCTATGACGGGAACCTCAACGCCCTCCCAGGGGTTCTGCAAGGATTCAGGGACTCAATGCATACAGAGCAGGCCTGACCCAAAACAGGATCTGGCGAGACAGTTACGTGGGTATTCATCCTCAGAAAGCAGATAAGTCAGT